GAAAATGATTAGAAGCTGCGTGTAAAGAGTGAGGATTGGACGCGCAAGAAAGGCCAGGCGCCGACGCGCGAAACCGCGACGTTGCGGATGTCCGAGGCGCTCGCGGAAGCAACGACGACGACCATGGGGGCGCCTGGGCCCCCATGAGGGTTGGGGCGCAGCGGGTTGCCTCGAGGAGAAAGGTTATTGGTGGGCCGGTGAGGCTGGTTCGAGCTTTGACGATGAGCGCGGCGGATGGGAAGAAGCAGACGCAGTGGACTCACGGGACTCGCGCGGACGAAGGCAAAGGCACAAGATGAACGGGACTCACGCGCTACAGGCGCGGTTACATTGCACACATTGCGGCGAACTTCCGAGAAGGAAGCTGCAAGGGTAGCTAGGGGAAGAGCGCTGGCCAAGGTTGAAAGATGACGCACTGGCAACGCGTTAAAGACAAGCCCCAAGGAAAAGCCGGAGGCCTCAGCAACTGCGGAAGGAAGGGGCCCGGAAGTTGTGCCCGAGGAGGATTCGTGCAGATAATTTACCGCGAATGTTCCGCTGCCCAGGATGCCGCATCAGCGCCATAGTCCAAACGAGTCTGCAGGTCGAGAATTGGCAACAAAAGTACGCCGACGTGCAGCTGATAGAGGCCCCTGGAACGTGCCTCGAGGTCAACGCGGTCCCCGACAAGGAGGTCAGTGGGTTGCACGAGGCCGAAGTAGTTTCTCTGAGCTTCGGTGCCCACGACGCAGCGGAGCCGCCGAGCGCCAGAAGCCATATCCCAGTTACTCCCGCGGAGGCCTCGCGAGCAGGAAAGCAGCGCAGTTCCACCGACGACGTAGCTACCAGGAACTATGGCCAGAGAGCGGCAGCGGGAAGTAACGGGCCAAGGGGGCCAGGTGAGCACGCCCACCAAGGTGGTGGATGTAAGAGAGGCATCGGGGTCAGCGCGTACCTTGCGTTAGCATGGGGCACAATGCAACTGGACAGAGTGGACTGCGACACATGAAAGAGGAGGGGCGCCCCAGTTTGATATCGAAGCATCGGCAGGAGCATGGCGAACAAAACGCGGAGGAGCTGTAGAGGGAGTTGCGAGTGAGGGTGATTTTCCGAGGCAGAGAGAATCCTAGCGAAGGATTTGTTCTTTTGGGTCCATCGAAGCCCGCGAGCCCCCATCCGAATGGCGATATCTGCGGAGTAGGCCGTGAAGGAGATGATGGAGACGCAGGCAGGGAGGTCAGTGGAGCGGAAGATCCGTTTTTCACGGAGGTCGACGAGTTACCCGAGAGGGCGCATTGTGATCTTGGACATGAAGAAGGAGGTCCAATGCGACGCATTTACCTCGCCGCACTTGGTGCCCCCATTGCGTTAGAGGTCATGCAAGGGGGAGGAACCGCGCGAAGGCGCAGCGCGAACCAAACGCAGGGCGCCCATCGGATGAACGGAAAGAAAGACGAACACGAGGAAGAACATCGGGGGGGCGGGATCTTGGTCATGCGCTGCCGATGAACTAGACTAACGTTGATTTATGTGGCTTTCAGGAAAGATCCAGATTCGCGTTCGGTTACAGTGGTAACCTTCATGCCATCGCACGCGGGCTACAAGACAGACGTTTGTGAACAGCGACGACGACCAAGCAACCGCAGCTCTGAAAGGGGGCCGTTCAAGAAATGCGCGATGCCGGCATGGGCATGGAAGTCAGTCTGGAGGAACATGATGAGTATCAGACGGGCCCGCGGCTGGTAGCGGCGCGTATTCTGATATGCACAAATTCGCCAGAGGAGCTGCTGGCAAAACCATTCGCGCTGACTGCGACGACCGCGTCGACGCCCTGCCCATCCTCGCGCGGGGGACTGCGGTTTTGATGGCCGAGCACCTGGCCATGGGGCCCAAGCCGAGCCGCCACGGGCGCAGAGCCCTTGTCAGAGGAGACGCGGCCCACAAGCCACACGGTGCCGACTGCCGAACCCGAGTTATTGAGTGGCTAGAGCAGCAGCGCGACTCGAATATTCGAGAGAGCGTGATCCTCCGCCGCTTTACTCTGGAAGCTTGCCGCCCTTTTCCTCCGGAGCCCCGGGGTCCCCCCCCCCCTCCGAAAATCCCCCCCCCCCCCCCCCCCTGCTGCAACCTCTCCCCCCCCCCCCTTCACCGGCAAAACCCCCCCCTCCCCTAACCCCCCCCCCCCCCTCCCCCTCAAAAAACCGAGGGAGGGTCACTACCGGTTCGAACCCCCCCCCCCTTCTCGAAAACCGGAGGGGGGGGTCACTACCAGTTCGAACCCCTCCCCACCCCCCCCCTCTCACCGCCAGCAAACGACTCCCGGTCCCTACCACCGTCCTCGCCACATCCCCCACTGTTGTTCCCAGCGCCACTGTCCTCACCACCGCTGTCCCCACTGGTTCCACCACCGCCCCTACTGTCCCCACTTGTGCCACCACCACTGTCCCCACTGTCCCCACCACTGTTCCCACCACGGTTCCACTCTCCCAACTTTCTCCACGACTATCCCCACTGTCCCCACTGTCCCACTGACTCCTCCGCTGTCCCATTGAGCTGTCCCACTGTTCCCACCACAGTCCCCCCTGTCCCCACCATTGTACCTCTGTCCCATTGTCCCACCGCCGTCCTCGCCACCGCCTTCACCGCTGTCCCCACCACCACTGTACCCTCCACTGTCCTACTGTTTCCACCACATTCCCACTGTCCCCACACCACTGTCCCCACCACCACCGTCCCCACCACTGTCCCACTGACCCCACTGTTCCCACCATTGTCCGCACCATTGTCCCCACTACTACCGTCCCCACCACTGTCCCCACCACTGTCCCGCTGTCCCCTCACCACTGTCCCCACCACCACCGTCCCCACCACTGTCCGCACCCCCCCTCGGTTTTCGAGGGGGGGGGGGTTCGAACCGGTAGTGACCCCCCCCGGCTTTCGAGTTCGAGGGGGGGGGGTTCGAACCGGTAGTGACCCCCCCCCCTTTTCATGATGAGCTGGGGGGGGGGTGGGGGGAGGGGTTCGAACCGGTAGTGACCCCCCCCGGTTTTCCGGAGGGGGGGGGGGAGGGGTTCGAACCGGTAGTGACCCCCGCGGTTTTCCGCCAGCAGCGGTAGAACACGCTCTTTGCGGTGCAACTAAGACAGGAGTTGCGCGCGCAGGGAGAAACCAGCGCCGGGCCATGCGTGAAACCCCAGCTTCCTGAGCTCATTGACGTGTGGAGTCTACGACACCCAAAAATGCTGCCCGGCAACGCTGGGCCCCGCGATCCCAGTTATATGTCCTATGCAGATGCCCGCAAGCAAGCGCTCGGGGAGGGAAAGTTGAACTGGGCAGCGCGCGCGCGAGTCGCATCATTGTTATAGGAACAGGGGGATTCGATGATGTTCGCGATGAACGGAAAACCGCGGGAGAACGAGAGCGAGGAAAACAATGGAGTGGATGGGCCGAGTTCGGCTTAGAAGAACAAGAAGGACAAAGATGAGGAAACGACTCCGACGCCAGGCGCCGCCTCATCTTCAATGTTGGGGGTTAAAGTAAACCGGGGGACATTGGCGGAAAAACCAGCCTGGGGGACCTGCCCGTGGACAAAACGATAACCTTTGAACTGGGCTAGGGGATGATCGAAGCAATCGAACGCGGCTTCCTACCATTAAGCAGTAGTGAGAATCTCCGCAAGTAGATTGTGAACCACGAAACAGGCGCACCCCGCGAAACAGACGAGATCAGGAGGGCCGCGAGGTTACGCGGAAAATTCAGCATGACGTTCAGGCGCATGTCTCTGCAGCCCACTCGCCTGTTACAGTTGCTGGCGTGACAGACAAGATGGGGCTCATTCGCGGCTCGGTAGTGGGCCTGGCCACCTGCGACGAACATGGGAACCCGCGGGGCTGTAATAATGAAGCCATGAGGAGACATGATCAAGAAAATGATCAGACGTAAGTCAGCGATTGGGCTGGTTGTTTGTGTGTGTGCGTGTGTGTGTGTGCGCGTGTTTGTGTATGTGTGTAGGGGGAACAAAAAGGGGGGCAAGGGGTAGGAATGCACTGTGGGTGAGGAGAGGAAAATGACGGCGGGAGGGGAAATAGGGCGGTGGGTAAGGGAACAGAGGAGATAGGAAGGAGGGAACAATACTTCGCCGCGTCACATGGCGAAACACCGTGGGATCGTGTCGAATATTTTGGGATACGTGTGCGAAGCCGAAGCACGATATCAGAGGAGCAGAGAATTGCAGAACGCTTTCAACTCATGTAGCTGTTGGGCCCCTAAGCGTCGGTACCATAGGATGCAAGAAAACGCTGGGGAGGCTACAGCGACAACGCGACCCCGAAGACGACACACAGAAACCCGTGCATATTGCACGGGCGTTGGCACCCAGGACCGTGAGTTCATAATGCCGGGGCGTCTGAGGTGAGAGTTCAACTTTGAACGCGCAAGAACCACCATCCATCTGTTCAGTTGCTGGAGAAGTTCATGCGATTTACAGGGGTGTCTCAAGCGAGATCCTGGTTTTGAGCATGCACAGTCAGTCACCCATGCAAGTTTGGGGATGATGTGTCGAAATGTCCCATTGTAATACGTTAGGAAAGCATGCGGGAACGGCATGTTGACAACCACCCGCATCCCGTCTGCTCGATTGCTAGATGCTCAGCGCTGCAGCGCTGCAGAAGCGCACGGAGTCTGTTGTGAGCACCAGAACTACCTAGCATCCACCCGTGTAAACGTCAGAAATATATCGCTGGAACATGATCATGCAAATTCGTGTCCAGCAACAGGACGCGCTTTGTCTGCCTTTTGCCGTTCTCCCTCCCCCGTCCCTCCTCCCCGCCTCCTTCCTCTCCCGTCCCTCTTCCTCCTCCTCCTCCTCCTCCTCCTCCTCCTCCTCGTGCTCCTTCTCCTCTTCCTCCGCCCCCGCCTCCTCCTCCTCCTCCTCCTCGTCCTCCTCCCCGCCCCCCCCCCTCCTCCCCTGTCCCTCCTCCTTTTCCTGTCCTAAATCCCCATTGGCGCTCGCCCCTGCGAAGGCGACGGGGCAGCTCCGAGAGGCCACCCAGGAGTTCAGCTCCATGTGATCCTGGTGTAGGCGGAGCGCGCGTCTGGGCTGGGGGCCGACTCTGGACATCTCAAGCGTCGTACTTGATCAAACGCGGAGTTTGTTTGTTGTGTGTGTTGTGTGTTATGTGTAAGTGTGGGGGGGGGGAGAGATCATGGCCGCCCCCGCGGGCTCGCCGCAGCCCCGCTGCGCGAGAGTGTCCCCGCGCCCAACTCCCCTCTCCGCGGTCGCCCCCTCGCCTCTCCACCCTTCCTCTTGCATGCGAGTGAATTCGCGACTTCGGGCCCTGGTCTCGATCGGACGCGCGAGCGGATTGCCTCTGCCGCGCCGCGACGTGAAAAGATTGTCCAATCGCGGAGTGTGTTTGTTGTGTTTGTGTGTTGCGTGTATGTCTGTGTGTGTCTGTGTGTGTGCGCGTGCGAGTGCGCGTGAGTGTGCGTGTGCGTGTGCGTGTGCGTGTGCGTGTGCGTGTGCGTGTGCGTGTGCGTGTGCGTGTGCGTGTGCGTGTGGGTGTGGGTGTGGCTGTGGGTGTGAGTGTGGGTGCGTGCGCGCGTGCATGTGTGTGTGGTCGTGTGTTCGTGCGTGCTTGTGTGCGTGCGTGCGTGTGTGTGCGTGTGTGCGTGTGTGCGTGGGTGAGTGGGTGAGTGGGTGCGTGTGCGTGTGTGCGTGTGTGCATGCGTGCGTGCGTGCGTGTGTGCGTGTGTGCGCGTGTGTGCGCGTTTGTGTGTATGTGTGTGCGTGTGTGTGTGTGTGTGTGTGCGTGTGTGTGTGTATGTGTGTGTGTGTGTGTGTGCGTGGGTGCGTGGGTGCGTGGGTGCGTGGGTGCGTGGGTGCGTGGGTGCGTGGGTGGTGCGTGGGTGCGTGTGTGTGTGTTGTGTGTGTGTGCGTGCGTGCGTGCGTGCGTGCGTGCGTGCGTGTGTGTGTGCCACGGCCTCCCCACTGCTAACCCCCCGGCATGCCCCCGCCTGAATGAGAGGGCCATCGCTAGTTTGCAGGCGGCCAGGCACATTCATCCCGACAATGCGCCGTCATTCCCGACAACACCGTCATGCACATCATGGTGACGTTTGTCCGAGCAGTCTCTCTAGAGGTAAACGAGCGCTGGAGGGCATGGACGACGAGGAACGCCGACTCCGCCCTGCGCCAGCCCAAGAGAGGCATGGGCCCTCTATCGGAACCGAGAGCATGGCCCGAAGCATGCTGTCGGGAGTTCCAGGCCTCCATCTATGGCGACTCTATCCCGGCGTCTGGGATCCCGATGGGAGTCCATTGGGACGGTAAGCGCTCCACCCTGGCCCTCCTGATTAACCACCTGCATCGGCAGACCTCCCATGCCCCCGCCACCTCTCATGCCCCCGCCAGCGTGCGCAAGGGGCCTGACGAGTGGGATGCATACCGCTGCAAGCACGACCCCAGAGCGTCCAGAAAGGGACGAGACCCGGCATGTCACAGCCGGGAAGTCTTGCTTGGCTACCTGGAGTCAAGGGGGATCACGTCGGTTCAGCACCCGCGCGTGCGGGACTTGCGCACAACCGCTGGAAAGAAGAGGCTCACCCTCACGGAAGCCCCCCCAGCGTTCCCCCACGGGCAGTTGCTGCCACCTCTTCAGACTCAGCGCCCCACGGACGGTCGGCAGCCCAGCGCCCCAGCGGCAGCTCCCCGCATGCGGAGCAATCCAGACTGCCGCCCCCCCCAGCGCCGCCGAGGCCAGACGCGGAGCCGCGTGCCCACCGCCAGTCCCCCACCTGCTCTGGGCGTGGAATGTACCAGTCTGCGCAAGTGGCAAGGACGGGCGCGCTGACTCGTCTGCCGCCTCCCCCGAGGCTCGGCGGAGCAGGGCAGGGAGAAGCTCCAGCTCCCGCTCCGCCTCCCGCGAGCCCTCCTGCAAATTCTCTCGCGACTGGAGTGGAGGTGCTCCCCTGGAAAGTCCTGCCAGCGGGCGCTCCGGGAGGAGCGCAACTCCCTTCGGCCAGCGGTCAGCGGGCCCCCACCGCCAGTGCAGCCCCATTCCAGCGCATCGCCGACCGCAGAGAATGAGCCAGTGCGGAAAACCCCCAGGACCAGCGAACAGCGCAGCCCAGGCGCACCCCAAAGGTGGCGCTACCGAGGCTCGGCGGAGACCACCCCGCCCTGGAAACGAGAGGCGGCACCACGTCACTTGCCCCCCTTCGCGCTGCCCACGCCTCAGTCGGACAGCAACGACGGACTCTACAACGAGCCAAGGCACCAGGTTACCTGGTTCCCCACCTGGAACCACTGAGACAACGCAAGGGTGGACTGGAGAGCGATGATCAACCGCCTCAAAGAATGTGGCCCCATGCTCACCATTGGGTGGAACGCCATCCGCGACCATGTGTCCAGACCCCACTCCACCAAAGACCCGCAGGGTCGCAACCCCAAATTCTGCCAAGGTTTCGTGCAGGACCTCAGCGAGGTCAATTACGACGTGCGCAGGCTCTGCTGGAAGAAACGCATACACGTCGATTGGAACGCTCAACGGTATCGCGAACTTGTCAGGCGGAGGCAGAGCTCTGACTTCGCGAAAGGCACAGGGAAGGGTGCCCCGCCGCACGGGAAAGAGAAACGGCCAGCGGACGCCCCGTGGCCTAGCAACGACCTTCCCGCCAGCGCGGGTCAGCTTCCAGCGGCCACCGCTGGTAGCTTTCAGCAGCCGCCCTACGACCTCGTCCTGCACTGAGCTTGACGCCCCCGCCCTGGCAGTGGCCTCTCTAGCCGCTCCCCTCCCCTCCCTGCCCTCGTGGCTTGTTCGCATCGTGCATCTATTCGGTGCCCCCCCGGAGGCCCCCGGCCCTTGCTCGGGGCCGGCCCACTGCCTTTCCTCCCTGCCCTCGCGGCTGCCTCCCATCGCGCGCCTGTTCGGCGCCCCCCTCACGAGCCCCCTGCCGCTCGGGGCTTGCCCTCTCCTCGCCCCCATGAGCGGGGCCCGCCCGCGCCTGAGCCGGCGCCCGACTGGCTCCCATCGCGGCCGCCCGCTCCGGGTTGGCTCCGTCGCTGCTGGCTGGTCTTGCCGCCCGCTCGCGACCTGCGCGCCGCCCCTCCTGCCTATCTTGGGGTGCCCGGCTCCGCCGCCGCCCCCTGCCTCTTGGGGCGCTGGCCTTCCGCAGGCTTTGTCCAGGCCCTGCCTGCGGCACCCCTCGGCGCCCTTGCCGTGCTTTGCTGGCTGGGCGGCACTCGCTCTGGCGCCTGTGCCCCCCCCCCCTCTGCCTGGTTTTCTGGCCGCACCCCCAGCGCCGGCTGCTGGCGTCCGGCCGCTGTCGCTCCCGTGCCACTTCGCTCGCGTCGGCTGCTGCTCAGTTGGCTCTCTGCCTCTGGGCCCATCCGCTCGCTTTCTTGGTTTGCCGCCCTCCATTGGGCGCGACACTCCTGTCCGCCGCTGGCTGGCGTCCGGGTTCGGCGCTCCCTCTCCCGCGTTCTGCCCGCCTGGGCTCGCCGCTCCCCCACTTGGCCGTGCCCCTGGGCCGCCTTTCTTCGCCTGGTCTCGGCGCTCCCCGCCGTTGCCGATGTCGGGGTTCCCGCCCGTCGGCGCGGGTCGAGGTCCTGGCCGTTCGTTCATACCGTCCTCTCGCCGCCCTTTCTCGGCCGCTCTCGGTCCGCTCTTCCTGGGCGGTGCCTCCCCGGCCGTCGCCCCCGCGACCGCGCCTCGCAGGCAGGTCTCGGCGCTTCGCTTTCGCTCTGGGCCAGGCCTCGGTCCGCTGCGGCTGGGTTGGGCGCGCCGCCTCCGGCGCCCTTCTTTGCCGGGCTCTGGGCTGCTCGGCCCGTCGCCTGTTGCCATCCCGACGGAGCAGTCGACCTCTGCACTGCCGCCGACGCAAAAAGCGCGTGTGCGTGCGTGCGTGGGTGCGTGGGTGCGTGTTTGCGTGTTTGCGTGTGTGCGTGTGTGCGTTTGTGCGTGTGTGCGCGTGTGCGTGTGAACTTGTGGGTGTGTGTGCGCGTGTGCGTGTGTGCGTGTGAGCGTGTGTGTGTGTGTGTGTGCGTGTGTGCGTGTGTAGTCTGGCCGTATGTGCGTAGGTGCGTGTGTGCGTGTGTGCGTGGGTGCGTGGGTGCGTGGGTGCGTGTGTGAGTGGGTGCGTGGGTGCGTGGGTGCGAGGGTGCTTAGGTGCATGTGTGCGTGGGTGCGTGGGTGCGTGTGTGCGTACGTGTGTGCATGTGTGCGTGGGTGCGTGGGTGCGCGTGTGCATGTGTGCGCGGATGCGTGGGTGCGTGGGTGCGTGGGTGCGTGGGTGCGTGGGTGCGTGCGTGCGCGTGTGTGCGTGTGTGCGTGTGTGCGTGTGTGTGTGTGTGTGTGTGGGTGTGTGGGTGTGTGTGGGTGTGTGTGGGTGTGTGGGTGTGTGTGTGCGTGCGTGCGTGCGTGCGTGCGTGCGTGTGTGTGTGTGTGTGTGTGTGTGTGTGTGTGTGTGTGTGTGTGTGTGTGTGTGTGTGTGTGTGTGTGTGTGTGTGTGTGCGTGCGTGCGTGCGTGCGTGCGGCGTGCGTGCGTGCGTGCGTGCGTGCGTGCGTGCGTGCGTGCGTGCGTGCGTGCGTGCGTGCGTGCGTGCGTGCGTGCGTGCGTGCGTGCGTGTGCTTGTGGGTGTTGTGGGTGTTGTGGGTGTTGTGTGTGTGTTTCGGCATCCCGGGGCCGTGTCCAGGGACGTGGCCACCGCACATGGGCCCATGGCGGCAGAATGAATACGGGAAGGTGGTCGAGGTTTCTGGGGCCGCGGATGGAAAACAAACAAAACACAGCGTCGGAGGTGTGGGGGCCCCGGGGAGGGGGGGGGGCCCGCGAGCCCGGACCCAACACGGAGTTTCGGAACAAACAGGGCGGGCTTGTGCTTGATTCTGTGTTCGGCCTCTGGGTGCTCTGGCCGGCCCCATGCCTGGCAACAGGACATGCTCGGGAGGAAATGTTGGCCCTGGGGAAAGGGTCGGTCGGAATTTCAGGGGTCCCCACACGTTTGACAGAAGGCGCACCGTACGTATGGGGGCAAGTGGAGTTCGCAACGGTCGAGGGCGCGCTTGCTCCCAGGGGCACGTTCCCAACTGAGGGTTGCGCACACGAGTGTTTATTTGCACTGGAGGAGGCCAATGACCTGGGAGAGCTGGCTCCGTGCAGACCCATGGAAGGGAGAATACCTTACAGGCTCTCAAGGGTCCACGGTGCCACCAGATGGTTCGAACATCTTATCCCGCCATGAGGGTAAGGGGTGCGTTGGGTTAGTTGTTGCCCCTTTTCGCGGCTGAGCGGTTGGTTGGGCCATTGCCACCAGCAGGGAAGCGGTGGTGAATGACGAGGGAAAGTGAAGTGGGACAGCGGGTGGAGCATGGTGGGAGGCATGGGGAAACAACTAATGAGAAGGATGTCGGGGCAATCGGAGGAAGGGGAGAAAATGCGAAATCCGTGCCCTCAGCACACCTCTGAATTTACCTTCGTTCGCTCTCGATGTGACACCCAGAGGCTCTGGTCTCGATGTGCCACCAAGAAGGTGCTACCCTCTTTCTCGATGTGCCACCCTATCCCGTCCCTTTTCGGCAATGTATCCACTTCAAGCGAGCCGCGATGGCACCCAGTAGCGGCCGCCAGGGCAGTACGAAGGAGGGAAATGTTGTAAGTGCGGCGGGCGGATGACGGCGAGGGGTAACAGGCGGGCGTTGCCGATGCCTGGTGTCTAAATTTTGCAGGGTTGACAAGTCATCTGTGCACTGCGCCCGTTCGCGCGCTGAGCACTCCGCCCCCTCAGGCCGCCATCAGCGCAGTCCAATCCCCTCGGATGCCGAGTAGTCGCGAGACTCCCCTCTCCGCGAATGTGGGAGTGCGCGGGGCAGCGGGGTGGGTGAAGCGTGATGTGCGGACGGAGGAACGTCCACGGTGCTTGTTCCATTCCCCCCCGCGGGTGTTGTGTCTTCACCCACTCGGTCATTGCCCACGCCACCCCTTGAGGTCGCCTTCTCGCCAGGACTCCTGTACAATCCGCATGCTCGTGTGCTGAGTGTTCAGGGGCACCCTCCTTCTCGAAGGTAGGAGCGCGGCGCGGAGAGGGTGGCTCGTGACAGGAGTGAGGAGCGAGGGGTAAGGACGACAAGAAGTGAGAACGTGGGATACCGAAAAGGGGGGGACCAGCCTCACGATCCGTAGCCACGTTGGGCTCCAGGGAACTGTTTCTGAAGCAAGGGCAGCAACATCTTGCAGCATTAGGGTCCGACAAAAGTGGGGGGTGGTAAGCAAATCGGATCACGCAGCTGACCACGTAGCTGACCACGCCAGGAGGCGCCAGTGCATTCAGGAAAGCGCCAAGTGGCGGAGCCGAAACCAGCCGCACGCAGCAGATCTCGTAACCGCCCCTTTTCCCCATCCTTCGGCGGCATGCGAGGGGTGGAAATGCGAAGAGGCAGGCTCAGAAGTCCCCAGGGCCTTCTGAGAAGTTTCCTGGCACGTTCCCGAAGGCAGCGGCAACTTCTCAGAAGGCGCGAGGGCTTCTGCGAAGCCCCGCCGCTTTTTGCGAAGGCCGTCTCCTTCTCACTTCCCCCTCGCTCGCCGCTGATCAGATGCCACACTCTCAGGGCTCAAACCTTTCCCCATCCCGACAAACGCCTCGAACCTCGAAGCTGGACAGGAAGAAGGGGAGGGGGGACGACTAGAATGAGAAGGAGGAGGCGGAGCACAAGAAGCAGCAGGAGATGGCGCTGGAGCGGGAGGGCATGGGCTGGGGAGCAATAGGGGGAGGAGGATGCGGAGAGGGTGTGCAGAAGGAGGAGGAGGAACAGTGATACGTCTTCAGTGGGGCAGGGAGGAGGAATAAGATGAGGACGAGGAGGAGGAGGAGGAGGAGGAGGACGAGGACATTGGAGAACGACGAGGAAGAGGATGCGGAGGAAGGGGATTGGGAGGAGGAGGAGGAGGAGGAGGAGGAGGAGGAGGAGGAGGAGGAGGAGGAGGAGGAGGAAGAGAGGGAGGGGGGAGGAACGGGAGGAGGGAGGAGAGAGGAGGTGGAGAGAAGAGGGGAGTTCTTGTTGTGTCTGCCCATCGCGGAACATTCTGAATTATTCGTTGTCAGGGCACGGTCGGTCGAAAGGGCTTGAGGATTCAAGGCTCTCACTGCCGCATTCGCTTCACGACGCGACAGCCACGATTGTGCAAAGGAGGGTGTAGAGGAAGATACAGAGTGAGAGAGAGAGAGAGAAAGAGAGAGAAATTGAGAAAGCAAGGGGAGCAAGAGAGATAGAGAGAGAGAGAGAGACAGAGAGATAGAGGGAGAGTCTGCATTTATTATGAGACCTTTGCTCGACGCTGGCACGTGCGATGCGTATCGGGCGGCGCCAGGCTCCCAGAACGCCTTCGCGGGAAAGGTGGTCTCGTCGAGAACACCGTAGAGCCGTAGAGGTTTCACACGCACGCGCATTTTCCGTGGCGAGGACTTAGCGCCTCGGCACATGAATCGGCACGCGACTCGCGTGAGTGCGGAGCTGCTCTTTTCAAGACCTTGCACTGAGTTTGATGTTCGTCCTCTTCTCATGGTTGAACGGCTCGCGTGGACGATCCCGGAGGGGAGCGGAGGCTCGAGAACTGGTGGCCACGTGGTCGTCTCGCCGCCTCTCTCGCACCACCCTGCTGCTCCGTTCCCCCGACTTGTCCCCGTCCCTGGCCGCCCATCTTACTCTGTCCACGGGCGGGCTGGTCAGGAGAGGAATGAGCTGGAAGCAGGAAGGAGTTCAAATGCACGTAAGAGTAACCCTTCGCCAGAGTGACCTTTGGTGCGGGCCCACCGGGGCGCCCCCGATCGCTGAGCGCGATGCGATAGTTGCTACTTCCGCGCTTAGATTTGGCCACCTTGTGCCCCCTTACTCCGCGCACAGGTGGTCACTCTTGCCTAGGGTCTTTCTTGCGTGTAGCCGAGGGGGGGGGGGAGACGGAGGAGGGGGAGGCAGGGGCGAGAGGGAGAGAGGAAGGGGAGCTTGAGGAGGGCAAAACGATGGGGGCGGTGGTGCAGGAATGTGCCCAGGAGGGTTCAGCCTCGGGAAGCTATCTTATTTGATGTGGGTGGCACTGCTCTACATGGCCAATCCACGACTGTAATTCCACCGGCTTCCAGATTCTGGATGTCTTATCCAATGGTTTCTTATCCAACGTCCTTACCGTAGTGAACTCAGCACGCATCTCTGATGCTGCAGTGCGCCCTGCCGTCCAGGACCCCATCTCTTCATAGGCCCGTGGAGGCTTTTCCCTCCATTGCTGCCAGCGCCCGCTGGCATGCCGAGAGCCCCGTGGGCCACGGGCGTGCCTCATGTGTAGCACCTTCGGGAGGGAATGATTGGTGATGCTATTGTTCGGGTGCTGCAAGAGGTGGGCCTGGCCCAATGCGACCCGTGCTGCGTTCGCGAGGCCCAGACCGCATCCAGCAGCAACAAAAAGCTCACGAGGCCCGTAGGGGTCCGAAGTGGCGCGCAGAGCTCTGGGCACTTCTCGGCGGGATCTCCCCTGGCAACCTCCGACCTGCTACGGCTGGAAAAATCCGAAGCCGACTGCGTCCCGAGCGGGAGTTCTTGATATGTTTAAGAAGGGATCGCGCCCCCGCCCATGCAACAGCTACAAGTTCCAAGCTTCACGTCCATATATCTTGAAGAACTCTCAGCCGATATCCAGGTGCTGCGAATGGCCCGTCCTCCACCCGCACCACTTCTGAAAATGCCAAGAAGAGTTGCAGGACCGTGAGTTGTGTGAGAAGGTCTCTGGCGAGGGCCAGATTGCGAACAATGGCCGCCCTTCAAGCGTGCAGATGTTGAGCATCGCAAGCGCTGTCGGAGTATTGGGCACCCGTCACATAATGATAGGAAGCGAGTGTAGCCCTGGCGACCCGCGGCCCGTGTTCGGGCCTCTGGGGGGCACTTTCGCTCCCGAGAGCGCGGCAAGAGCACCCAACGGTCAGACGGCCCAAGAGGCCTCCAAGACGACCCGAGAGCGCCGCAAGAGCGCTTCAAGACCATTCAGAATGGCTTCACGACGGTCCAGAGGCCCCCCAGAAGGTCTTAGAGTGCCCCAAGAGGACTCTCAAGATGGCCGCAGAGGCTTTCAATAGGCTCCAAAGGCTTCCCAAGGGGCCCCCGGAAGCCTCGCAGAAGCCACGCGTCTGCACCCTAAACGACGTTCCCAGAGCGGCTTCCTCGGACATCGCTTCTGAGCTAGAGGCCTCCCTCGAGATCCCGATGAGCGCCACACGGGCCTCACGTATTCGTCCTACACGATGTTCCCGGAGAGGCTCCCGGGAATATCGATTCGGATTCGAGCCTATCACAACCCTCCCTGGGATGCGGCACTGGGCGTCGGAAACCTATTCGCCGTCGACATTCCCAAGTCCGGCGTGCTTTGCCTGCTGCGATTCGCTGTCGCTGGCGGTTGGTGCCCTCGGGTTAGTGCCCTCGGAAAGGGGAGGGGGAAAGAACTACAAGGAGCCGGGGAGGAGAAGGAGGAGTGGGAGCAGGAGGAGTGGGAGGAGGAGGAGGAGGAGGAGGAGGAGGAGGAGGAGGAGGAGGCGGAGGAGGAGGAGGAGGAGGAGGAGGAAGGGAAAGAGGAGGAGGAGGAAAATTCTCATTCGGAAGGGGAAGAGGCAGTCGTACGCGGACGGGGATGCCGAGAATTATGCGTAAAAAGGGAGGGCAGAAAGGACGCAAAGGACGAAGGACGGGGGGAGGAGGACGAGGAGAAGCAAGAGTAGAAGGGATGAGGGAGTCACTGGAAGCGGGCGGGCCTGGGCGCGTCCAAGGTTGAAGCTGTTGTCTCCCGAGGCGTCCCCCGGCCATGAGACGCGGTCAAGGTGAGGTGCCCGGGGGTTGCTCGAGGTTGAAGGCGTGGTGTCCCGTGGCGCACCCCTGGCCGCGAGACGCGGTCAAGGTGAGGTGCCCGGGGGTTGCTCGAAGTTGAAGGCGTGGTGTCCCGAGGCGCACCCCTGGCTGCGAGACGCGGTCAAGGTGAGGTGCTGCGCTCAAAGGCTGAAGCCGTGGTGTCCAAGTCGCCCCCGCGGCCGCGAGACGCGGTCAAGGTGAGGTGGGCGCTCAAGGTTGAAGGCATGGTGTCCTGGGCACCCCCTGGCCGCGGGACGCGGGGGGGGGGGCCGGGGGGGCGCTCAGGGCTGAAGCCGTGGTGTCCTTGACGCGCCCCAAGCCGCGGTCTTTCGCGCGGTAGCGGGGCTGGCAATGGTGCTTGGACCGTGCGCGCTTGTAGCAGTGTCCACGGCTTGGAACTGTGGCTCTCCCCTTCGCCTCGGCCGCGCTCCCTGCTCGTTGGGAAAAGCAGGAGGAAGTGCTCACGCTTCGGCGTTTTTGCTTTCGCGTGGGCTGCGTTCCGGTGCCCACCTAGCTGTTGGTCGTATTCTAGCCCTGATCGACTTTTCGCTTCAGCGCTAGCCGCATTACCATCCTGGACTGGCGCCCCCGCCCAGACGCTTGTTCCACTACCACTCCAGAAGGCTTGCCTGATAGTTACCGATGCGGTCAAGGATTTCTCTTGGGGTCAGTCGGGGCCCTGTTGGGTTCCATTCAGGCCGCAGTTGGGTTCCGCCGGGTGGTTAAATCTTTCAGTGGCCAGACGGAGCGATGGCGACACCGCCACTATCATTGCAAGTCATACGCCGCACGCAGCGCTTGCGCATAAGAGTGAGGGGGGAGAGGTGCTGCGTGCCCACAAACATGTCCCCCAATTGCAGCCCCCACGTGAAGCCCCCGATGTGTTGCGCCAACCTGTGGCCCCCAGGTTTGCTCCCGAAGTGCGTGTGCGTGTGGGTTCTTTGAACTGTGCTTCTACACACGCGTGTGTGCGTTCTCTCCTTCTGGTTTCATCCAAGGTGTCGTGGGTTTTGCATGTGAAGGGCGAGGCTCACTAAAACCTCAGCGCGCGCTCAGCGCGTGCGCGTGGTTCTAGTTTCTAGTCTCTGGCATATACATCCATACATACATACATGCATACCCACCTACCTACCTACCTACCTACCTACCTACCTACCTACCTACCTACCTACATGCATACATACATACACACATACATATATACCCATACATACATACATACATACATACATACATACATGCATATGTACATACAATCATACATACGTACGTACGTACATACCTACATACACACATACCACACATGCATACATCTATACCAACAAACACGCATGCATACATGCATGCAAGCATACATACATACAACATTACACACATAGAAGAATGCTTACATACATACACACATGTATAGCTAAACACCTGTGTGCATACACGTGCATTTATACAGGTATAGATGCAGATACCTGTGGATGTACAGATGTATATGTGTAGTGGCCTTCGGCCCATCCCGTCACCGTGCCTGGGTTGTGGGTTAGAGGCCTCTGGGATGTTTGTTGGGAGATTGTGAGAGGCGTCTCGGGGGTCTCTTGGAGGCAGGTCGGATGCCTTCTGAGGGCCGTTTCGGGGCCCTTTGGTGTCTCTTGGTTGGCCTTTGGGGGGCCTCGTGGGGCCTCTTGGGGGCCTTGGCCTCATGGGGGCCCCTTGGGGCCTCCGTGGGGTTTCTTAGGGCGGACGGCTCGAAATGTCGGTTCGTGTTCCCCCTACCCTTTTGGGGCCGTCTTAGGGCTCTCTTGGACCGTCTGGGCGTCTCTTGGGCAGTTGGTGGGCCCTCTTGGGCCGTCTTGGGGTTCTCTTGGGGGCCTCTTGGGCTGTCGGGGGGCGGTTTGGGGGCCTCTGGGGCCATCTTGGAGCGTCGGCAGCCTGACAACGCGATAACGTGAGAAACATGTTGAAAAACACAAGGGGCATAAATGATGGTTGCATTTTGGCCGTCTCGGAGGTCCTCTTAGAGCACTGTTGGGGCTTCTGACGGGCCTCTTGGGCCATCTTGGGGCCGTCCTGGGTGTCTCAGAGCGCTCTTGGGCCGTCTTGGGACCCTCTTGGCCCGTTTGGGGGCCCTTTGGCTTCTGGACAAGTCATGCGGGGAAGCCCAAGAGCGCGCGGGCACGCCCAGGAAATTTGGGAGGTTGGGGCCCCAGTCCCTAAGATAGTAGAATACATGACTCAGGACAGAGAACACATGAGGACCTGGAGAAACCTTCCCTGGCGCCTCGCGGCACGGGGGCGGATCTATACACAGGCTTCATGCATATGTATATGTGCGGTGAGGGACGTTGGCTTGGCGTGTCGCTCCGCTGGGTCTGGCCCACCACGCCTCGGTGCGACACGCTATCCGCTTCCTGGCAACCCAGCATCACCATCCCCGAGCTTTTTCAAGCCTCCTGCCACGCGTACCGCAGCGACACGCTATCCGCACGCAGGGCATAGAGTGTCGCCAGGGCCGCCTCCGCGTCACGCTATGCAGATGTGACTGATGGTATAGTTCGTGACAGCCTCAGGCGAAGTGCCCCGAGCTCGAGCGCGGTTGGCTCATAAGGACGAGTGATGGAGGACGAGGAGGATGGGGATGATAGGGAAGATGGGGAGAAGAGAGGCAGATGGAAGAGCGAGAGAAGGGTGAGACGGAGGAAGGGGAAGAAGGAGGAGGAGGAGGAGGGGGATGAGGAGACGAAGAGGGAGACGGAAAAGGGGGAGGAGGAGCAGGGCTGAGGAGAAGAGGGAGGAGGAGGAGGAGGAGGAGGAGGAGGAGGAGGAGGAGCAACATCTTGAAGGAGGAGGAGGGAGGCTCTTGGGCATCCTGCATCTCATCCTCAGCATCATCTCCCCGTCCTCCTTGCCCATGCGATGTGCTGACCCTGGCCAGTTTCCTTTCCGGCCTCGTCGGGCCTGCTCCCGAGGCAGGCCCGCTGTCCCCGGAGACGCGGACTTCCGAGCCCGACGGCTTGTGGTTCGCACCGCTCCGCGGGTTGCCGAGCGAAGGTTTTGTTGTAGAGCGGAGGCGGGCAGCGCACCTTCGCAGGCCTAAAGATTGACACCAACACCAATATCGGCGGTGTGCATCCACCAAGGGAGGAAGATCCCGATCTCGGTGATGGTGGTAATATTCTGGCATACAAGGTGGCCGAAATATTGCCACCAACACCGAAATCGAGGATCGTCTTCCCCCTGTGGAGGCAACCCCTTGTGTTGGTGTTGGTGCCCATTTCTAGGCCTCCAACACCTGGCTGCCGCGCGGCGCGGACTGGCGGGCTCGCCGACCTGCAGAAAAGGAGCCGGGCAGCCCGCGCCCAAGACTCGTCAACGATGCTGGAATGAACCCTCCTCCCTCAGAAGCCCCCACTCTCGCAGGCCCCGACGAGGATTCCCCCCCACGGGAGGAAGTGCCCCGTTGGGAGACAACCGTTGGACGATGCAGAAGCGTGCCAAAGCACTTCCGCGCGCGGTGCCTCCGGTCGGAGGGTGTCTTCCTGGCATGTCCCCGGCCCAAGAGTCCCAGTGTCCTGGAGATCCTTTTGGGAGCAAAGGGTATCCATACCGCTATCATTGCCTCGTCTTCCCCTTTCTGGGCCTCCTGGGAGGCCCTCGTCGCCACCGCTGGATTCGCCTCGAAGTTCTGATGAGAACGCCCTCCAGCAAAGGTCTGGGGAGTAGCGGTATGGGCACCTTTCGTCTGAGAAGCGTAAGACTCGAGTTCGCCAGAACTCGGATCTGCCGACGCTTTGAGACGGGCTCGTCCTGGATTTTGACGGTCCAGTTGTCGTGGGATGTTTGCAGCGGGAGCTCGCGTCTGATTTGTCGTTGAATGTTTGCAGCGGGAGCTCGCGTCTGATTTCAGATTGGGTCTCGTCATCCTCCTCACGGCCCCGTCAGGCCACCGCGGGTGCCCCTGACCCGAGTCTTACGTCTCCCCGGCTTCGGTCTCCCCAGAGCCGGTCGGGCGCTGTCGGGAGTAAGAACGTGGCCCGAGGTGGGGGCATTTTGGAGCAGGTTGGCGTCTGGCAGCCTCCGAGCTGGAGGCACCTCATTCAGTTGATGACGACCCAACAATACACACACACACACACACACACACACACACACACACACACACAAACACACACAAACACACAAAAACAAAAACAAACACACACACACACACACACACACACACACTCTCTCTCTCACACACACACTCACACCTCAGAAGAGGCGAAGGTACCGATACAGCTACCGTTGGCCCGTTTTCCCCTGTTCTGGGCCTCCTGGGAGGCCCTCGTCGCCACCGCTGGATTCGCCTCGAACTCCTGGTCAGAGCGCACCCCGCGAGGGGTCCAAGGTGTTGCGGTATGGATACCTGTTGGTTTTCCCAACGCCCATACTCATAGGGGGGATGGAGGGGGCTACAGGTGCGTGTTGTCGGACGGGGGTCCCCGGGAGCCTCCCCCGCGGTCCGGCAGCTCGCGCCCATACCCATGGCCAGTCTTCCTCCCTCCGACCCCTCTACGGGTATTAGGTGTGTATTGTTCGTGCGTCAGGTGAACGCTCCTGAGGGGGGCAGACATCGCCGCCCCACGGTTTTGGAACGCGGAGACTATGTGAGGGTGGTGCAGGTGGGCGAGGCGAACGTCAACAGTGGAGGGCCCGACAGGGGTTCAGCAGGGGTGCGAAGACGACCCCAGAGGGCCAACACAAACACCAAACATGGTCCAAGAGAGCCCCAAGAGTTCCCGAAAACTAGCCGAAAGGGCACTTGAAGGTGTCGGAGACTGCGGATGAAACCGCAGAGGGATACGGAGAGGCAGAAAGAAGCAGGTGTGAGTTAGTTTGGGGCCTCAGCACGGCCTCCAGGCACCCCCTGGGCGCCCACGACGGCTCAAGAGGGCGCCGAAAAGACGACCAGCGGGCCAAGTGGGTCTGGGAGGCTGGCAGCACGGGCCTGGAGGCTTTGGAGATTGTCCAACGTCGCCGGGATGGCCGCGCGAGTGGCGCCAGATGGTCCAAGAGAGCTCCCAGAGGCGCAAGAATAAGCCCGAAGCGACCACAATCATGAAAATACCTTGGGCGTTGGACTGTTTTTGGTTTCTTTCAGGTTGTCGTCTGAAAATGGCTGAGGAGGGTGTCGGAGAGGTCCGAGGGGGCCCAGAGGGCCGCAAGACTGGTCCAAATGAGCCCAAACGAGCCCAAACAGGCTCGAAAGACCGTTGCGGAGGGCATTCGAGGGCCCGTGTCCTGTGAGAAGGCGCGGTCGAGTTGCGGGCAACATGGCGTCCAGCTGACGCCCGCTCCGCAGCCAGGGTCCTTGGGCCAGCGGGAAGATCTGGCCGCGTGCGAGGGCTCTGAGGGTGGGCGCGGGTACAAGGACTGCGTAGGTAAGAGGGTTGAGGGGAAAGCGCATTCGCAGACCATGCGGCGGGGATCCGACACGTCGTACGCAGTGGGGCGGCGGATGGCTTCGCTCATTACACAGGCCCATACTATATGTAGTGTTGAGTGGTCTTCAGCCAGATCGGGTCGTGGACAACAGGCCTTGACGGGAGGCTTGCCTATGGGGGCATCTTGGGCTTGCCGGCGGTCTCGGGGGCCATCTTCGGGGGAACGAGTTCCAAATGGTAGTTCGGATTTTCCTCTTGATGCCCATTGGGGGGCCTATGAAACCCCATATGCGAGCCTCTTGGGCCGTATTGGGGCCCTCTTCGGCACTCTTGGGGCCCATTTGGGAACCCCTTGGGCTGTCTTGGGGCGATATTGGGGGCCTCCTGGGCCGTCTGGAGAGGTCGGAGGTGAAACGAGAAAAGACGACAACGCGAAAATCTTAGAAACACCTCGGGAGCATCAATGATCTTCGCCCCCCAGGGCTTTCTTGGGGGTTCTCTCACGGCTCTCTTGAGGTGTTTCGGCGGCGTCTCGGGCCATCCAGTGATTATGTTGGGCGCTTCGAGCGCTCTTTGGCCGTCCCGGACCACCTTGAACTCTCCTGTGGCTCCCTTGGAGCGCTCCTGGAGCGCTCTGGGTGGCCTGGAAGGCCGCAATCAGGAGCAAAACCGGCTCTGGCCCGAGTCGGGCGTGGAGTGGGCAGCGTAGGTTTTGCCCGGAGACCCCCACGGGTGACCCAGCGCACGCGCGCGAAAGTAAATGTATTCGAAACTTGTCATTTGAGAACTTACTGTCGGGAATTTTAGGATCGTGTGTCGCTCCGCCTGTTCTGGCCCACCGTGCCTCTGTGTGACATGCTATCCACTGCGCGGTCCCGTTGCGTCCACGTGCCGAGCTGCTCCGAGCTTCCCGCCCCGCGGAGCGGAGCGAAACGCTGTCCTCTCGCAAGGCATAGCGGCCGTAGCACCGTAGCAAGCACACGCGAAGCAAACGTTCCCGACCGTAGCACCGTAGCACGCCTCTGGCCCGTTGGGCTCGGAACGTCACATGCTGGGTCGAGGATGCGCCCCTATGCGTCCTTCTGTGCGAGCCTTGCCCCCGGACCGCTGGGCAGCGGCAGCGCACCCGGCTGCCACTTTTGCAGCGGGCTGTAGGAGTAGTAGTCGTCGTCGTCGTCGTCGTCGTCGTCGTCGTCGTCGTCGTCGTCGTCGTCGTCGTCGTCGTCGTCGTCGGCGTCGGCGTCGTCGGCGTCGGCGTCGGCGGCGTCGGCGTCGGCGTCGGCGTCGGCGTCGGCGTCGTCGTCGTCGTCGTCGTCGTGCGGCGGGTGCCGCCGCGGAGAAATTAATCTTTTTTGTGATTGGTGGGACCCCAGTCTGTCAATAAGGTCACCGAAAAGATAGTTATTGGCGGGGGGGTCTGAAGACCTGCTGGGTTAGTGCCATGCTCGACGGTCGCCGTTGTCGTCGATTGAGGGTCTAGGGTCCAGGTGCTCGGTTGCGTTGGGACGCCCCAGTGCCCCTTGGAGACCATTGCTGTATCCCCTGGCGATTGCGGGCGTGACTGGGGGGGGAGGAGGAGGGCAGAGCTCGAGCTAAACGGTGCTTTGGCAATTTCGTGGACCGTTTTCGTTCTGAATTTGTTTTGTAGCAATGGTGGAACGAAGACAGAACTAGGGATAACGAAGACAACAAGAAAACGAACACATTTTTTAGCGCGAGCCCTTGAGGGGGAGAAGGGGGCTGGCGCTCATTCCCAGACGGCGCGAATCGTGACGTGACCAGTGGGGGAGGGGGTGGCCAGGCCGGGGCCGGTCACAGGCGATATCACGGATAACAGAAAGTTGGGTTCTTGATGATCTCTTGGGGGCAGCCAGGGCTCTGCAAGAAGGTGCATTTCGGGCTCGGATGGGGCTCGCTGTTCCGTTGACCCTTCCACGGCTGTTCCTCTAGCGGTGTTCGTTCGCCCAGGCGCTCTGGGAGGTCAAGAAGAGGATCGTTCCTCATGTAGACCGGAAGGGTGTCTAAAGCTACCTGCCCCCCCTCCCCCCTCGAAGCTCTCGGCTGGCGATACAACTCGGCCCTCCCCTCCCCGTCCTCCCACGCCACGCAATGGGCGTCTCCTGCTTGTGCGTACAAGGAGGAAGGAGGAGGAGGAGGAGGAGGAGGAGGAGGAGGAGGGCGAAAGTGAGGAGGAGGAGGAGGGGAAGGGGGAGGAGGAGGAGGAGGAGGAGGAGGGGGAGGGGGAGGGGGAGGAGGAGGGGGAGGAGAATACATCCTTGGGCCGTCAAGCGGCCTCCTGGGGCCTTCAACGATGACGACGACGGCGGCGACGACGGCGGATGCCTGAGCCGTGACTGCCGCGGGGGAATCATCCTTTTCCAAGTAGTTTTGCTGTGGGCCCCAATCCGTCAATCAGCCCGCACAAAAATAATTACCCTGGCGACGTACCCAACCCCTGCGCAAAAGCGGGGCGCAAATAGTTTAGGATACTTTATAAGGGGGCGATGACGGAGCGAGGGTTACATATGTCTGCAGACGGAATTCGGGAGACTCGCAGGACACTGGCTACAGGAAAAGGGCTTGATAAAGCTGATGATTTACAATTCCTGAGCACTCCTAGCCACTTCGAAAACGGGGATCACAGCAGGCCTCGAAAGTGGCGACAGGTTCACAGATCGCAGCCCCGCAGGGATGGCGAGGTCTCATTTGAATCTGCGCGTGGCCCTCACTGTGCTGGGCCCCCCAGCAGGCCTCGAAAATGGCGGCAGTTTCGCAGATCGCAGCCCCCCAGGGATGGCGAGGTCTAATTTGAATCCGCGCGTGGCCCTCACTGTGCTGGGCCCCCCAGCAGGCCTCGAAAATGGCGACAGTTTCGCAGATCGCAGCCCCCCAGGGATGGCGAGGTCTAATTTGAATCTGCGCGTGGCCCTCACTGTGCTGGGCCCCCCAGCAGGCCTCGAAAATGGCGACAGTTTCGCAGATCGCAGCCCCCCAGGGATGGCGAGGTCTAATTTGAATCGCGCGTGGCCCTCACTGTGCTGGGCCCCCCAGCAGGCCTCGAAAATGGCGACAGTTTCGCAGATCGCAGCCCCCCAGGGATGGCGAGGTCTAATTTGAATCCGCGCGTGGCCCTCACTGTGCTGGGCCCCCCAGCAGGCCTCGAAAATGGCGACAGTTTCGCAGATCGCAGCCCCCCAGGGATGGCGAGGTCTAATTTGAATCCGCGCGTGGCCCTCACTGTGCTGGGCCCCCCAGCAGGCCTCGAAAATGGCGACAGTTTCGCAGATCGCAGCCCCCCAGGGATGGCGAGGTCTAATTTGAATCCGCGCGTGGCCCTCACTGTGCTGGGCCCCCCAGCAGGCCTCGAAAATGGCGACAGTTTCGCAGATCGCAGCCCCCCAGGGATGGCGAGGTCTAATTTGAATCCGCGCGTGGCCCTCACTGTGCTGGGCCCCCCAGCAGGCCTCGAAAATGGCGACAGTTTCGCAGATCGCATCCCCCCAGGGATGGCGAGGTCTAATTTGAATCTGCCGCGATTACCCTCTATGCTGGACCCCCCAGCAGGCCTCGAAAGTGGCGACAGTTTCACAGATCGCAGCCCCCCAGGGATGGCGAGGTCTAATTTGAATCTGCCGCGGTTACCCTCTATGCAGGACCCCCCAGCAGGCCTCGAAAGTGGCGACAGTTTCACAGATCGCAGCCCCCCAGGGATGGCGAGGTCTAATTTGAATCCGCCGCGTTACCCTCTACGCAGGACCCCCCAGCAGGCCTCGAAAGTGGCGACAGTTTCACAGATCGCACCCCCCAGGGATGGCGAGGTCTAATTTGAATCCGCCGCGATTACCCTCTATGCAGGACCCCCCAGCAGGCCTCGAAAGTGGCGACAGTTTCACAGATCGCAGCCCCCCAGGGATGGCGAGGTCTAATTTGAATCCGCCGCGATTACCCTCTATGCAGGACCCCCCAGCAGGCCTCGAAAGTGGCGACAGTTTCACAGATCGCAGCCCCCCAGGGATGGCGAGGTCTAATTTGAATCCGCTGCGATTACCCTCTATGCAGGACCCCCCAGCAGGCCTCGAAAGTGGCGACAGTTTCACAGATTGCAGCCCCCCAGGGATGGCGAGGTCTAATTTGAATCCGCCGCGATTACCCTCTTTGCAGGACCCCCCAGCAGGCCTCGAAAGTGGCGACAGTTTCACAGATCGCAGCCCCCCGCAGGCAAGACAGAAAGAGGCAGGAAAGAGGCGGGAGGCGGGAGGAGGAAGGACGCGACCACACTGCTCTATTCAGAACGAATACCCAACCAAGGAGGGTTAGGAAAAAGAAGACAATCCCGCTCCTGCGGGTGAGGGGTCAACGACCCTTGACGGTTAGCATTCCTGGTGGTTTTGAGTCGGGGGGTCCTTGCCCTGGGGCGGATTGCGCGGCGCGAGCGGTCCCGCGTATGACCTCAGGAGTTTCACGGCTGGCTTTCACCACATAGGGCCGTCTACCAGGAGCTCTTCCTTTCAAGTTTCACACCACAGAGTTGGGCTGCCATGTGCCCCGAGATTCGCCAATTTGGGGCGAGAGCCCGCGGGAGACGTCAAAGACTCGGGTCCGTGGTGGGAGACGTCCGTGGTGCCGCACCGCAGGCGGATTGCTTTTGTTGGATCTGCGGGCCTCAGAGGTCTCGGCCCCCACCCCTGCTGGGGGCCCGACGGCGGTCTCCAGATGCCGAACGTGGAAGGGAGCGTGGGGACGCGAGAGAGCAAGACCCCAGAGACTCCTCGCTTGGATCTCCGACAACTCTCCCCAGGAGGAGGAGGAGGAGGAGGAGGAGGAGGAGGAGGAGGAGGAGGAGGAGGGCGGCCGCCCGGCCTGGGCCCCGGGCGGAGTCCGGACCTCCCGCGCGGAGCAAGTCGGCCCGGGAGGGGGAGGAGGAGGAGGAGGGGGAGGAGAACGGGGGCAGGAGGAGGGCATCCTTGGGCCCTCAAGAGGCCTTCTGGGGCCCTCAAGCGGCCTTCTGGGACCACCCGCTCCTCCCGGCCCGCTCCTGGCGGCCCCTGGGCGCAGCCGGAGGCCGACAGCGGCGAGACGCGTCCAAGCCGACTTGCTCTGCGCGGGAGGTCCGGACTCCGCCCGGGGCCCAGGCCGCCCTCCCGTCCTCCTCCTCCTCCTCCTCCTCCTCCCTCCTCCCTCCTATCCTCCCCTCCTCCTCCTCCTCCCCCTCCCTCCTCCCCCTCCTCCTCCTTCCCGTCCTCCTCCTCCTCCTCCTCCTCCTCCTCCCCTCCTCCTCCTCCCCCTCCTCCTCCCCCTCCTCCTCCTCCTCCCCCTCCTCCTCCTCCTCCTCCTCCTCCTCCTCCTCCTTCTCCTCCTCCTCCTCCTCCTCCGCCTCCTCCTCCTCCTCCTCCTCCTCCTCCCCCTCCCTCCTTCCACGGGCGCGGGCTCGCGCGCGCTCCCGCGGGAGGCTCTTGGGCCGCGCGCTGCCGCTCGCCCCCAGGGGGGGGGGGGGAGGGGAGGCGGCGAGATGCGGGCCCGCTGCGGGCCATGCTGCGGGCGAAGGCCCGGCCCCCTCCTTTCCCCCGTCTCGGACGCCCAGGAGGGGTACGGGCAAGGGTACCGTCCCGGCCCCTCCTTTCCCCCGTCTCGGCTCCTTCTCCTGGGCCGCGCGCTGCCGCTCGCCCCCGGGGGGGGGGGGGCGGCGAGATGCGGGCCCGCCGCGGGCCATGCTGCGGGCGAAGGCCCGGCCGCCTCCTTTCGGCTAGGCGTAAGAGTGACCTTTCGCCGGAGTGACCTCTGGTGCGGGCACAGATGGGTCCCCAGATGGCTAAAAACGAGGCAGTAGCAGCTGCTTGCGCGCCCAGGTTTGGTCCCCACGCGGCCCCCCAAAAGCCGCGCACCAAAGGTCACTCTTACCCAGGGTCACTCCTGCGTGTAGCCGATCCTTCCCCGTCTCGGACGCCCAGGAGGGGCACGGAGCAGGAGCGGGCACGGCACCCGGCAGCAAGTGTTGTGCAAGATTGGTAGCGGCCGCCGTTGGGCAGGCGGCCGTCTGTGTCGAGTGGACAGCGCCCGCGGCGGCACCGACAGGAGGTTCTGTTCAGGACGGACAGGAAACACTGGGTCTTCGTCCCCGGTTCTTTTCGTATCCAGTCCTTTTCGTGCCGACAGGTGCAGCAGAGCGAGGGGCAGCAGGATCTAGGAAGAGACAGAATAATGCAGTTGTCTTGCATGGTCTCGGCGGCTCTCCAGCCTCGGGATGCCCTCCAGCAGCTGCGCCTCGCCGTGAGCGTCCCAGGGGTGCCCGAGTTATTCCGAACGGCCGCCAGAGACCAGAAACCACCCCATGAAGGAAAGGCGTCCGCGGAGGAGCGGTGCTCTGAAAGCGGTTCTCCTCCCTGGTGGTTCTCCGCGAGGCGTGGCTCAGTCTGTCTCTCCTGTGGGGCATGCCCCATCGAGAACGTTTCTCTTTGCCGCCTGGGACCCTCTTGGCGCGCACGCGGGGGAATCCTTGTCTCTTGCCTGCTCCTCTTTTGCTGCCGGTGCTGTTACCGCGAGGACGCTGCGCATCTCGTTGCCGATCAACAACAGAGGAAGACGAAGAGCAGCATGACCAAGACGGGGATAAGCTGAGGAGAGATAAGCTGAGGACAGATGGGAGGAGAGGGGCTCTGCTGGACGACGACAAGCCAGCATCGGGACGGAACGAATAGCATGTTTTGTCACAGAGGTTTGGGGGCGCCCACGGGTCAACGATGGGGCACCTCAGGCGCGCTTTGGAGCACTCCACTTGCTCCCGGGCGCACCCCATTGCTTTGAGATTCGAACGAACCTGGGATCGAGTACGCTTGGCATCGAGCGGACCCGACACTTCGCGCCCTGTGGGAACTGAGCCGTTCGGCTGCCCACACGGCGGCCGAACGCGCTCGGGTGCCGACCGGGCTCGGAAAGGCACCCAGGTTGGGCGTTTCGTCGGGCCCAGACAGCCTCCTGCCACGATGACCACGGTCGAAGAAACGTAAGTCTCGAGTAAGCTGGGACTCGGGTTTGCCAGCATGCTTTGACGAGTGCGCATTGGATTTTGACGGTCTAGTTTTCGTGGGATGTCTGCAGCGGGAGCTCGCGTAAAAATTCAGATTGGGTCTCGTCATTTTCATGATGGCCCCGACGGCCCAACCCGAGTTCCCCTAGCCCGATTTTTACGTCTTCCCGACACGAGGACTGTGACCACGACCACGCGTGCCCATCACAACGGCCGCGACAAGCACGTTCGCGACCACGACGAGGACTGAGACGACGGCGACGACCAGAGCAAACGTGGGTCCACGTCCTCCCGAGGGCCAGGTCACCCGCAGGGGCGCGAAACTGGTCGCGTGCCATGGTCCGGCATATCTCTCAGGGGGCGGCGCGAGAGCTGTGGAGATGACCGCCCGTCGGGCAGCGGCGAAGTCTGGCAACCTACGATAGTGTTCAGGACGTCTCTGGAGGCCTCCAGAGGAAGGTCCCCAGAGGTCCCTCGTGTCCCCGGATGCCCTTGGAGAGGCCACCGGAGGCCAGAAGATGCAACAAAGCACAGACACACGTAAAAGCCGAATCGATCCTCGAACCAACCCTCAAGCTCCATCGACGACGATGACGAGACGACGACGGTGGCGGCGGCGACAGCGACGACGCGAGCTGGGCGCGGGCGCGCTGGCGACGACGACGGCGACGGCGGCGGCGGCGGCGACAGCGGCGACGATGACGCTGGCCCGCCGCGGAGGCGCTGGGCGCGGGCGCCGACACAACGGCGACGACGACGACGCACAGCGAGCTGCCCGCCCCTGGGGGGGGGGGGGGGGGCGTGCCGCCCGTCGCGCGCGCCGCCAGACGCTGCCGCTGCTCGCCGCCTCGGAAGCCCTGCGCGGCCAGCCCAGGGCCACGGCCGCGGCGATCGAGGCGTGCAGGGGCCCAGGTGGGCCGGCGGCCCACGGGGCCGCCGCGGCGGAGCCGGCCGCGGCAGCAGCGGCGGTGGCAGCAGCGGCGCGCGTCAAGGCAGGGAGGCAGCGTTGTGAGGGCGATTCCCAGAGGCACTGGGAGCTAAGAGACAAGATGCTGGCCTGGAGGAGCTGGTGACCCACCAGCCCTCTGGGCGGGATGATGCGTGGCTGCCGCGGCGTGCGCCCGCGTGCGTCGACCGCAGCCGCGGCAGCGGCGGCAGGCAGCGGCGGCAGGTGGCAGCGCCAGCGGGCGGGGGGGCCGCGGGCTGGCCCGGAGCCAAGGGTGCGAAGAGAAGGGCGCTGCTGCTCGACGCTCCAGGCCTCCCAAGTGGGATCCGAGCAGATGGGGTCGGAGGATCGCGCCGCGTCGCCGATGCATCGGACAGACGGCTCGATGTGGAGCTCCATTTTCTCCACGCCGTCGTCGCCGATACACCGCCGACGTCGCCGACGCATCGCCGATCGGCAGTGCGACGCGATCCTCCGACCCCTCCTGCTCGGACCCCATCTGGCAGGACTCTACCTGCTGCTCCATGCCCCCACGCCCGAGGGCCCCAATCTCTCGTGGCCCCATCTCCGGAGGTGCCCGCGGAGAACTGGAGGACCCGCACCCACGAGTCCGGTGTTTTTCTGCTGTGTTCAAAACGTGGTCCCTGGAAGTTCCAATCCTTCCTCCATGACACGTTTTCATGCCGAGTCGTATGTTGACGGTCCTGGGCGGGAGGCCGAAAACGGCGAAGCACTTCCGTCTGTATTGTTTCCTTGAAGGCGCTGGAGGTCCGGGGATGGTCAGGATGACCGAAATCGGGACGGAAAAGTCAGGGATGCAGACCAACCGCAGCGCGGTCCCCCTCTGCTGAGGAGGGATCGCTATCGGTGTCGCCGCCGGCTTCGTCCGCTTGTGGCGAGGAGCGCCTGTCCGGCAGCGGTCGTTGTCGGTCTAGGCCAACATTGTCTGGGCGTTGCTGGCAGCTCTGTCGTCCCCAGACAGGGCCACGCCTTCGGCCAATCTCATCTTCGGCCGAGGGCAGCGGAAACATAATAAGCTCGGCGGAAGCGTGCAGTGAAACGCAAACGTGTTTCCCCCAAAAGTGATTGTGCTCAGGGGGTTCTACTTCTCTCATGAGGCACTCGGCCTGCGCGCGGGTCCAGCCTGCTTTCGGTGGCCCGTCGCCGCCGTCCGTCGCCGCCGGTCGCAATTTTGATGGTGCGAGCCTCGTAATTTTTTCCTTTCTGAAAGGAAAGTGGGATCTACCACCAGCGCCCCAAAAGGAATATCGGCTCCCCTGGGAACATGTTGCTTGCATATGATTATTCCCTGCCCCATCTTTCATGCTAAAAGGTAAATTAGCACCATTCAATTAGACCCCTGATCGCCCCCTTATCCCTGTCAAACACTACTATGCGCGCACAGCCGCTAATCACAAATCATCAGTTTTCAACCATCCCTTGAAACATAAATGCCAATGTTGACACGCGCGCGTCGTCGCGCGAGCATGCCGGAAGCTCTTAATTACCCTGTGACGTGCCCAACCCTTCTATACATGTGGCGGTTATACGCAGGACCACTCAACGCTGACTGGCATTCTGAAGGACCCGCAGCGCGCAGAAAGAGCACCCAACAATGCTTTCAGAAGAGCGCAGCAAGAGGTCCCCTGGTGATCCGCGTAGCTGGGCCTCCCAGGGGCCCACGAAAGTGGCGACAATTGCGCAGATCGCAGCCCCCCAAGGGCGGCGAGGTCCCGTGGTGATCCGCGTATGACGTACCTCCGCTGGGCCTCCCAAGAGCCAACAAACGTGGCGACAATTGCGCAGATCGCAAGCCCCTTCAGGGGGCGGCGAGGTACCGAGGTGATGCGCGTGGGACCCACCTCCGCTGGGCCTCCTAGGAGCCCACGAAAGTGGCAGTTGCGCAGATCGAAGCCAAGGGGCGGCGAGGTCCCGTGGTGATCCGCGTATGACGTACCTCCGCTGAGCCTCCCAGGAGCCCACGAAAGTGGCGACAATTGCGCAGATCGCGGCCCCCCAGGGGCGGCGAGGTCCCGTGGTGATCCGCGTATGACGTACATCCGCTTGGCCTGCCAGGAGCCCACGAAAGTGGCGACAATTGCGCAGATCGCAGCCCCCCAGGGGGCGGCGAGGTACCGAGGTAATCCGCGTGGGACCTACCTCCGTTGGGCCTCCCAGGAGCCCACGAAAGTGGCGACAATTGCGCAGATCGCAAGACCCCCAGGGGGCGGCGAGGTACCGAGGTGATCCGCGTGGGACCCACCTCCGCTGGGCCTCCCAGGAGCCCACGAACGTGGCGAACTGCGCAGATCGCAAGCCCCCCAGGGGGCGGCGAGGTACCGAGGTGATCCGCGTGGGACCCACCTCCGCTGGGCCTCCCAGGAGCCCACGAAAGTGGCGACAATTGCGCAGATCGCAAGCCCCCCGAAGGGGCGGCGAGGTACCGAGGTGATTCGCGTGGGACCCACCTCTGCTGGGCCTTCCAGGAGCCTACGAAAGTGGCGACAATTGCGCAGATCGCAAGACCCCCAGGGGGCGGCGAGGTACCGAGGTGATCCGCGTGGGACCCACCTCCGCTGGGCCTCCCAGGAGCCCACGAAAGTGGCGACATTGCGCAGATCGCAAGCCCCCCAGGGGGCGGCGAGGTACCGAGGTGATCCGCGTGGGACCCACCTCCGCTGGGCCTCCCAGGAGCCCACGAAAGTGGCGACAATTGCGCAGATCGCAAGCCCCCCAGGGGGCGGCGAGGTACCGAGGTGATCCGCGTGGGACCCACCTCCGCTGGGCCTCCCAGGAGCCCACGAAAGTGGCGACAATTGCGCAGATCGCAAGCCCCCCAGGGGGCGGCGAGGTACCGAGGTGATCCGCGTGGGACCCACCTCCGCTGGGCCTCCCCCCTGGCGACCCAGGCAGCCCACGTACCGAGGTGAGTGGCTGGGAGCCCAATTGCGCAGATCGCAAGCCCCCCAGGGGGCGGCGAGGTACCGAGGTGATCCGCGTGGGACCAGACCTACCTCCGCTGGGCCCCCCAGGAGCCCACGAAAATGGCGACAGTTGCTCAGATCGCAAGCCCCCCAGGGGGCGGCGAGGTGCCGAGGTGATCCGCGTGGGACCCACTTTTGCTGGGCCTCCCAGGAGCCTACGAAAGTGGCAACAATTGCGCAGATCGCAGCCCCCCAGGGGTGGCGGCGAGGTACCGAGGTGATCCGCGTGGGACCCACCTCCGCTGGGCCTCCCAGGAGCCCACGAAAGTGGCGACAATTGCGCAGATCGCAAGCCCCCCAGGGGGCGGCGAGGTACCGAGGTGATCCGCGTGGGACCCACCTCCGCTGGGCCTCCCAGGAGCCCACGAAAGTGGCGACAATTGCGCAGATCGCAAGCCCCACAGGGGGCAGCGAGGTACCGTGGTGATCCGCGTGGGACCCACCTCCGCTGGGCCTCCCAGGAGCCTACGAACGTGGCGACAGTTGTGCAGATCGCAAGCCCCCCAGGGGGCGGCCAGGTACCGAGGTGATCCGCGTGGGACCCACCTCCGCTGGGCCTCCCAGGAGCCCACGAAAGTGGCGACAGTTGCGCAGATCGCAGCCCGACGGCACGAGGGAAGAGGAGATGGGGAACACCAGAAACAGGAGAGAAGGAGAAGGAGGAGGGGAGGAGAGGGGAGGAAAAGGAAAGAAGGGAGGACTGGGCGACCAAACTGCTCTATTCAAAACGAGTGCCCAACACAGGAGGGTTGGGAAAAACCATAGGCTTCGTCCGGACTTGGCATGATTGTTCAAAACAAGAGTCTGCTCGCGTTCTTGTGAATTCTCACGGAAACCATATGTTCTCAACATGTTTATCAAATTCGACCAAACGGGCATCCCACGCGCGCTTGCCGCAATCATTCGAACATTATTTCGCGCGTCCTGTGGTGGGGGGCACAGCCAGCACCGTTGGTGTCATCATCGTGTCTGCCGTTGTCGGCGTCGCCATGATACCGCGCCCGCCCGAGTCACCGACTCGCAGTGAAGTGCCCGCGCGTCAGCGCGGCCAGCGAGACGCGCTGGAAAGCCCCCATGAGCGCCACCGCGGCCGGGTCGGTCGCGCCAGACTATCTGGCCGCTCTGCGCGCGAGCCTGCGCACGCTAGCGCGGCCGCAGCGATGCGCCAGCCAGCGCCAAGCAGTCACCGCAATCGCCGCCGCACGGGTTTTTCGAACCTAGTTGCGGGTGGGTGGGTGGGACGACAGCGCGAGCAGTGGGATTGATAATTTCAGGCACGGCAGGGTGAATTGTACCACATAGATTTGCACCACAGGCATTGCACCACATGAATTGTTCAACGCGGAATGCGCTACGTAATTCACACCACGTAAGTTTCACCACATAGCTTGCAACGTGCATATTGCACCAGACGGATTGCACCACATCGATTGCACCACAGTGGGTCCAGGGTTTCCGGACCCTGCCAATTATGTGCAGGGCCGGATCGTGCACAACTTCTTTGTGTGCCAACCCCCCCTGCGAGTACCCAATGTGACATTGACGGTTTGCGGCGCAATTTATCGATCGTTCGATTGGCCGAAATCTTGCACCCCGCAACCTAAGCTAATCAGCGTTGATTCGGGAGCACGGGGTGTGCTTTTCGGTTTGCGCGGACACCCGGCTTGCGCGGGCGGTGCAGGATCTCCACCCCCCATCAACCTTTTTCCGGGGGTGGGGCACTCCGACCGGGAGATTGATGTGCCTGGTCTTCGGGAGGCGGTGGACATGGATAATTATGTGGTACACGTGGGCACCAGGGGTCCCCAGCATACGGAAGGTGCATCGAATAAGAAACCGGCTTGCTAGCAAGTGCGACACGGAGGCTTTTTATCCCCCAGTGGCCGTGGGGGCTCCTTGAAGCCCTTGAGCACCTCAGGAAGCTCAAATCTTGACGAAGAATGTGCCCCAACAGTTCCATAGCAGAAGCCTTCTTACCGCCTGGGTCTCATGTGCCCACGTCCACCGCACATCGGTTCCGGAGGCGCGGGACACTGACAAATCAGATCCCAGCCTTGCACCTTCCCCACAGGGTTCGGGCTCTGGAGGCCCGTCCCTCCGTCGAATATCGATCCAGGGCGACAAAAGCTCCAACTATACGCGAGAGTGAACTCTCGCCGGAGTGTCCCGTGATGCGGTCCACGTGGGGCCCCCGATCGCCGAATGCGATGCGACAGCAGCGGTTTGCGCGCTTGGATTGGTACCTCCCGCGCGCCCCCAGGAAACCGCGGTCAAGGGCCCCTCTGGCCCGGGGCCAGCGGTTCTTCGAGGAAGATTTGGCTGGCCAGCATCCGACGTTGCTCGGCAGGCCTCCCGAGAAACGGCACCGTTGAGAATTGTCTGGACGGACAGGGGCCACAAAAAGGGTTTTCTGTTGTCTTCGACCTGGGGTCCGTCCCGGGGCACGGTGCCGTCGAAGAACGCGTCGCAGGGAAAGCCTCGGGATCCAGCGGTTGTTTCCAATGAATGTTGATCCCTCGTGCCAGAGCGTCCAGATGCATTGAGCGCCTTCTTGCAGTAGACACCCTGTGCACCGGAGATACCGGAGGGACGGGGAAGTAGCAGTATCACCCAGAGTAAAAGTGTGAGTGAGTACCAGTAGCTCGATCTCTGGACATCAGCGTCTTAATGGCCAATGCCAATGTTGTAGCAACGGCCTCGTGATTGTTTGCATTCATGCCGAGGCGCAGGCCAGGCTACGAAGTACTGTTGCCGTCAGTCCGAACATGTGATTGGTGTGCTTGGTAGTGGCGTGGCAGCTACCAGTAGCAATTTCGGCGCTTTCTGTCAGGCATCTGCTTTTGGACCTCTGTGAAGCAATGTCGGCGGCTGCTGTTGCCATCCGTATTCGGAGTGCACTATCATGTAGCACGCCGTCTTCGAAGGATCTTGCGGCTGTCACGGAGAGTATTCCGACACTGAGACCCGACGAGCGCTTGCAGTTGGTCATGTCCAATACATGGGGCGAGTTGATTGTAGCACATCTTCCCGATGACAACGTTTTCAAGTTGTTGCATGTGCTCTCTGATCTGAGGCCTCCACCACCAGCCCGTGATAGATTCTTTTCCAGCTTTGATATGCCAGGATTGTGTGAGGCTTGTGCAGAGAAGCTCCGGGTTGCATCTAGCAAGCCAATGTCCGTTACCATGCGACTATGCGTTCGGAATCTCGCGAGGTATCCAGTTTTCAGGCTTCGCTTGTCTGGAGCCGTTCCAATTCTCGCACAGTCTCTTTTGGATAGAGAAGTGGACATGGATATTCTTGCTTCCAGTGCCGCTGCCTTGTGCAACCTATGCTGCGACAATACACTCAAGGTCGATGTTGTTCGCCTAGGTGTGGTGCCAGCTCTTCTGTCCAACTTGAAGCGGTCCCCTAAGATGTCTGCTGCAGAGGATCTTGTAGCATGTTTAGGTGTGCTTATTGCTGGCTACCCCCCTGGGGTCGAGGCCCTCTTCAATACAGGAGGCGATGCAGGAATTCTCGTGGAGTGCTTGTGCAGCAGCCATCCTGCCCTTCAGACCCTGGCAGCGGAAATTCTGGCAGATGTGTGCAGCTGCTCCAGGGGCTTCACAACATGGCTTGTGAGTGGTACCGAGCTGCTCGGCAGTCATCTGGGCCGCCTCCTGAGCCTCGACGGAGATCCGCGCTTGCTGGGTGCCTCCCTGAATCTGTGCGAGCGCCTGGCGGAGGCGGAGGAGTTCGCCAAGGAGGTCCAGAAGGGCCACGCGGTCCAGGCTCTGCAAGCGATAGCCGAGCTGCCCGCGGACCCCAGGGATCCCCAAGAGGCCGACGCGCGACGGCCACCGACCAAGCAGGAGCAGGCCAGAGGACTGCTGGGCAGGATTCTGTTTTTCTAACGTGGCGCTGCCGATCCTGCACGAGCATGCGTGACGGGCAGGAGCTCTTGCTGGAACTCAAGTGGCTGCGCGCGCTCACCTGTTTCGGACTCGTTCGGCTATCCAGGCGAAGGGATGTGTTTGGTTCAGGCATGCTGCCCTAGATTCTGCGCACATCCAGACACCGATAGCTATGACTTGGCCTTTCTGATGCACCGTTGCCAGGATGGCTGAGATTTGTAAGCCGTTCTTGTGCACTAATCCGCATCAGTGATGGGACGGTCTGGCTAGAAGCAGTCATTGACGCCTCGCGTATCCTTGACAGCCCATCGAGCAACGAGGCCCCCCAGGCAAGTTGAGGGAATGGGGGACGGACAACTTGGGTGCAGCCGTTATTTTTCAACGTAGGAGGGGCATGGATGAGGGAGGAAGGAGGAGGAAGAGGAATAGACGGATGAGGAGGAGGGCGAGCAGAAGTGCCAGAGGCTTCTTGGATGCTTCTCGGAGTCTTTTGGTCTGTTTAGTTGGCGTTTCTTGGATGCCGCCCCTTGGGGGCCTCTTGGCGGTCCTGGTGGTCCTTTGGGGCGTCCTGGGTGCATCTGGAGAGCCTCTCGTGGCCCCTTGGGAACTGACTGGGGGGGCTTTGGGGGGCTTGCTGGGGGCCTGCTGGGGCTGGCGGGCCCGTCAAGAGCCACAGCGCCGTCTGGGGCCTCCGCAGGGGGGGGCAGAAGGCGGGAAACCAGGACTGTCACATAACAGTTCTGGCCGTACCTGCCATGCGGCGAACAGACACCGCAGCCCCAAGCAACCACCCAAGCATGGGGGCTCACCAGTTGTGATACCCTATGGGTGAGCCCGACCGGCCACCACAGAGCACTTTCGTTGCGATGATACTCTCTTTGAGGGGCAGCGAGCGAATGTGATGACGTCAGCCTGCAGGCCACTTTGGAATACTCCCCTTGAGGGGCAGTGGGTCGGTCGGTGTCCGCTCCACTCTTCTCCCTCTGAGAGAGAAACGGACGGTCAAGTCTGAAAGAGCTTACCCAGCGTCCATCTCGGCAGGAGGCCCCCGTGGACCCGTCGCCGCGAGTTTTCGCGCCTTTGGGGCAGCAGGCGCAGGAGGACGAAGAGGACTAAACATCCTCTTGTGGTACCTGCCCGCGGATTTCAAGGGGGTGCACGCACAAGGCTTTAATATGTCTGCATTGGTATCGTTGTCTCCACTTCGCGCTCTGTTTGGGGGGTGGAATGGGGTCGCCCGAGGGCGCTGCGGCAGGCAGGAAGAGGGGAGGGGGCTGAGGTTCAGAGCGGCGCTGGGCCGATCCTCACACCCAGAGGTCTCCAGAGGCTTCCAGAGGCACGAAAAAAAGGCGAAACATGTGCAGCTGCACCGCTGGCAGAAGAAGACCCGAAACAGCCTTTCAGAGTATAAGCGATAGCCCTACACACGATAACTCGAACGCTCGGAACTAATGTCTGTACTCAGTGAGCCGGACCAGACCCGATCTGGGCTGGACATGTCCCCATGCGTTTCCATTTTTAGTGGCCTAATGTCCATCCGACCTTTGACTGTTTACAGGCGGTGATCCGCCAGAACCTGCCTGGCCACGATCCCTGGTAGATGATATGATGCGGTGGACACCACGTTCTGTCTATCCATGGAGTAGCACAACGTGATGATCCGCACTATCCGCTGTAAAATTGCATCACGCGGTGAACATTGCCTGACATATGTGACGAACTCTCTGTCAAAATACGATGCGGGCAACATGCGCGCGCTCCCGCGCGCAAGATGATATTATGTGTTTGAACGTGTTGTTCAAGCACGTCGAGGCCCAGCCGTTCGAGTACATTGTGGAACAATGTCGTCCGAATGTAGATCTTGTGTGCTCATGAACGCCATCATGGAGATGCGCTCGTTAATTCATGCGCATGTGCATGGGCCTCCTGCTCTTGTGGGCCCCAGACACGGCAGGTCCTGTTTCCACCGTTTACCAAATCATGTCTTCAAAATGGAAATGGTAAACAGTAGGCAGTTGGAAACGGCAACAACAACGGCTCTGGAATTGGAGCCCGAACCGGAACCGAAACCGGCAACACAAATTGCGACTGATTCAGACAACAAACGGCGCCAAGGCAAGAAAAGGGGCAAAACGGAGCCGGTATCAGAAACGGCCCTGTCGTTTCCAGGGTCCACTGAGCTCCCGTTGTACCTGAACTCGACCGCACCCTGACAGAGTGGCCGAACGTTCCTTCGCTCGGCTCCCTCCTGGGCCGGGCGGGGCGCGAAGTGCCAGCCATGGCGGGGGGCCTTCTGACCGATGTGGACCAGCAGCCCTCCCTCTATCCCGTGGGATGGTCGCCATGGGGGAAGCGGGTCCTGAGTGACACGTGTCCCGAGGAGCTCCGCCTTTTTCCGGCTCTCGGGGCCCTCCACGGGCTCCGGGGTGGTCAGAGAACGATTGTGGAGGAAGAGTTCGTCCTGGGGGAAGGCCCGAGGGTCCAGAGCCCGTGTCCCTCAGGACCCGCTTCCCCCGTGCTACGGATTTGGCTAGTCCCTCGCCTCCGCAGCCCTTGTGTTGGGTCCTCTCTTCCCGGCGTCTGTAGCACGCGTGGCCAGGGAGGGGAGGTGGAAGGAGGGGGCATGGGCTGGCTCGTGCCATCCGTGAGGGCGCCCCCTCTCGGGCCTCTGGTGGCGATGTGCTCGTCAGGTCCGCTGCCTTGGATGAGGTGTTGGAGTTCTTGGCGGTGCCGGATCCATCTCTGGTCTTGGTTTCGGGGGGGCGCACCCTCCTCGTCCAACAGTTCAGGGGCCGTTGTGTCTGCGGGCCCTTTCTCCCCCTGGGGCAGGCGGGCGGGCCGAGCGGTGACGCCCGTGGTCACAGGGCGCAGTCCTTTGCGGGTGCACACCGGTGCCGCTCGGCGGTGGCTTCGGTGATGAGCGAGCGGAGGTGGGCGACTCCTCCTCCTCCTCCTCCTCCTCCTCCTCCTCCTCCTCCTCCTCCTCCTCCTGCTCCCCCTCCTCCTCCCCGGCGAGGCCGGACGGCTGCCTACCTCAGGGCCTCCGCAGGTGATTCGCGAGGAGGCGAATGCAGGAAAGCACGCGCGACCAGGAGTTCCCGTTCACATGGTCTCGGCGAGCACATGCTGTTTCGGTTGGCGTTGCCCCGTCCGCGTCGGTGTTTCCGCGCCGCACCCCAGCCCCCGACCGTCCAGGGGCGGCTCCTTGCTGGACTCGGCCATCCGTCTCGGCCAGGCGGCCCAGTTGTCCGCCCCCCCCGGGGCCTCTCCCCGCCAGGCCAGGGCAGTGCTTGCTTTGTGTGTGGGTTCGTGTGCTTTTGTGTCCCTGCCTGCGCGGGGAGCGGTCTGCGGAGTGCGTGTTTTTTGGCCTTCGACCACGTGGCGCCTGAAATTGGGTTCTGGTTTCCGTTGTCGTCTGCTTGGGCGGCGCCCACAGCGTCGGTCTGCGCCAACGCTGGCGTTGCCATCCTCGTGACGCCACCTTGCTTGGTCCTGTGTTCTTCCGCGTTTGCGTTAAAGGGGTATTCGAGTGGCGGGGGTTTGTGTGACCCCTGGCCTCTCCCCTTGCTTTCCGTGCCCCTCCTTGGCGGTGCTCGAAAAGGCCACCGTCCGGCCCGAAGGTCCGAAAGAGCGCGTTCTGTGGTCGCTTGGAGGGGGGGGGGTTGGAACCGGACCCCCCCCCTCCTGGATGGAGGGGGGGGGGGCTCGAACCCTCCCCCACCCTTGCCGCGACGCAGGGGGGGGGGTCAAACCCTTCCCCTCCCCCCTCCGCTACTTTTCCTTTATCCCTTTCCTTGGACCGGCGCCTGCGTCGGCGGCGGCTGGCGGCGGCGGCGGGGGCGGCGACTTCCTCTTCTGGGCCGGCGCCAGCGCCTGCGGCGGCGGGCGGCGGGCGGCGGCGGCGGGGAGCGTCGACGAGGACGACGGCGACGACGATGACCACGATGACGACGCTCTGCCACCGTGTCTTGGTTTTGGGTCAGAATCCTCATGGATGCCTCCTGGGGTCTCGTTGGAGGGTTCTCGGGGGCCTCTGCAGGGTATTTGTGAAGCCTCCTGGGCGACTCTTGGGCGTCTCTTGGAGCCTTCCCGACGTGGTGGTGGTGGTGGGCTGTGGTGGTGGTGATGGTGGTGGTGGTTGTGGCGGTGGTGGTGGTGGTGGTGATGTGGTGGTTGGTGGTGGTGGCGGTGGTGGTTGTTGTGGTTGTTGTGGTCGTTGTGGTGGCAAGTTGTGGTGGTGGTGGTGGCGGTGGTGGTGGTGCGGTGGTTTCTGGTGGTAGTGGTGGTGATGGTAGTTGTAGTGGTGGTGGTGGTGGGTTAAGGTGGTGGTGGTGGCGGTGGTCGTGTGGTGGTTTGTCGTGGTGGTTGTGGTGGTTGTAGTGGTTGTGGTGGTGGTGGTGGGTTGTGGTGGTGATGGGTGGTGGCGGTGTTGGTGGTTGTGGTGGTTGTGGTGGTGGTTTGTTGTGGTGGTGGTGGTGGTTGTGGTGGTGGGTGGTGCTGGTTGTGGTGGTGGTGGTCGTGGTGGTGGTGGTGATGTGGTAGTTTGTGGTGGTGGTGGTGGTGGTGGTGGTGATTGTGGTGGTGGCGGTGCTTGTGGCGGTGGTTGTGTTGGTGGCGGTGGTGGCGGTGGGTTGTGGTGGTGGTGGCGGTGGTTGTGGCTGTGGTGGTGGTGGTCTGGTGGTTTATAGTGGTGGTAGCGGGTGTGGTGGTGGTTGGTGGTGGTCGTGGTGGTTTGGTGGTGTCGTGGTGGTGGTTTGTGGTGGTGGTGGTGGGTTGTTGTAGTGGTGGTGGTGGTGGTGGTGGCGGTGGTGGTGGTGGTTGTGGTGTGGTGGTTTGTGGTGGTGTTGGTGGTGGTGGTGGCGGTGGTTTGTGGAGGTGGTGTTGGTGGTGGTGGTGGCGGTGGTCTTGGTGGTGTGGTGGTCTGTGGTGGTCTGTGGTGGTGGTGGTGTGGTGGGTTGTGGTGGTGGTGGTGGGTTGTTGTGGCGGTGGTGGCGTGGTGG